TACATATTTAAAATATATTTCTGAAACACTATTAATAATCTATTCTAGAATTATTGATATATTTATTGTTAAAGTTATAATAAGTTGTACACATTATGAAAAAAAAAATTCAAGTTAACAAATAATAAAACGGAAAACAATGTGAAAAAAGACTAAAGATAGCATCTGATATTTTTCGTGTGACTGATAAACAGAATAACTCTTAATAATTTATTGCCCTTTTTTAAAAAGCGATAGTTTAAAACCTATGCGGTTTCTTTTATGAAAGTAAATAGTTTGTCTGGTGTGAAATTTTTAACCATATCCGAAAATATACAATTAATTTTAAATACCTTGAAGAGCTATTAAGAGTTTTTATTTAGAATTCTGCATGAGGTCTACTGACCATGAGGTCTACTGTCATTGATAATTTTTATTATAGTTTTCAAAAATCTTTTTATTTAGGGGAAGTGGGTGAGTTTAGAAGAACCCTGAACTTTTTTTGTCGAACTTTTGTTTTGAATTATTACAATGTTTGATAGTATTAAGACTTTTATATTTTTATTGACAGTAATGTTTGTTTAAATGACACTTATTTATGTTTTTTTTTCCACCTAAATGTTCTATACATTTATTAATTTTATGTATTTCATAATAGCTTCAGTAAATCTTTAACTTATATCTTTTAGAACTTGCATTAGTTAAGTGTAAAAAGAAAGAATTTTTAGTATCATATTATTGGTTACACCTACTGATGTCTTTTATAAGCACTATACAATATTAGTACCAGTATTACAATATATTAATAACAATTTAGTATGATACTACTATCATGCTATAATGTTACTATAACGACATACAAGTATACTTGTAACGCGCGTCCAATTTTTTTTTTCAACTTTAATCTAAAAAGAGCAGCAACAACAACAACAACAACTTTTTTTCGTTGATTTTTTTAATATAAATTTCTTACTTCTAACCCTTCGTTTAAACATGCACTAAATGATGAGTTCATTAGTTGACATGTTCAGTGGCGTAGGAAGATTTTCAAATATTTGAAACTCCCTCAAATTGAGGGGGCTTTAAACTTTATATGGTCATCATTTTTGAACACTAAAATATTTTACTATGAAATTTAAAATTTCTCGATAAATATATGTCTAGTTGAAAATAGTACAAAAAATATTTTATCAACTTGTTGCTCTCACGTTTGGGGAAAGGGAAGGGGGGGCTAAGATTTTAGAGTTTCTTGTTCCCATTCTTCTTTCTCAGTAATTTTTTTTTTAAGAATCTTTTCGTCATACATATGAACGTAAAAAAATTTGGAATATTCTTGTTGTTTATAAGTTGATCATTTCAAACATTTCAAAACCTTACTACGCCACTGAACATAACTAAAATTTGCTTGACTGTTTTTATTTTATAATACATTATATTTCATAGCTTTTATGACATGTATAATATTTTATATTATTTATTTCATAAGAGTAATTTTGCCTAAAATACGACGCTTTTTGCTGCTAAAAATTGGTTTTTTGCTCTTGAAGTTGGTTACTTCGGATACCAATATAATCATAAAATAATAATATGCGTAAAAATATTTCTGTCATGAAGTTGGTATTTAAAAAACGTTAAATGTTAAATTTAATAAATTAAAATTGTGTATTATAAAGACAGTTATGTATAAATACAAGCTTGTGACAATTTTATTTTTAAATTAAAAAAAAAATATTTTTTAAATTAATCTAACAATTTCCGTTATATTTCAAGACTCAGTCAGGTCTATTACTAATTACCAAAGAAGTTAAAAAGCACTGAGTAATTCGCTTCGTTTTCCTAAAGATCTAAACAACACTTTGTTAAATAGAACGAAAGCATAAGATATTTAATAATCTTTAAATTTATCTTATTCTATTTGACCAAATAAAATTTATATAATTAAAAAAACTATTATTTTAACCCTGTTACGACTATAGGTTGCGACAGCGTGTTCCAGAGATTACAATGAAATTCTTTAAAACAAAAATTTACTAACTGATGACGTGGTGGGTAAACTTTACTTTACAATTTTTTTTCATAAACCCATATTTGCAACCCTATTGCACCTCAAGTTGTAATTGTTTTTTTTTGAAAGGATTATATCTACTTTTCCATCTGTAGAACAAAACATTTTATGTAATATAAATGTACTCACTGATAATGTGGGTGGGTAAACTTCACATTAAAATTTTTTTTTAATAAACAAAATGACATAAATAATTAAGACGATTCGATAAAAATGACACAGCACGAGTTTGAACTAAAAAAGCTTTTCAATTAAATGATTCTGTTATTCAAAGCTCGATAGGGTTGCTATAAAACGTGAAATAGAATCTCTAAAACATTTATAAGACAACATGATAGGATATCGTTATGTAAAGTAATTGTTTTTGTGTCAAAAAACATATTTTAATTGTCTTCTTAATAGAATATATCATTTGTGTGTTTTATATGTACATGTATATATATATATATATATATATATATATATATATATATATATATATATATATATATATATATATATATATATATATATATATATATATATATATATATATATATATATATATATATATTTATATATATAAATTTAAAGCATAAATAAAACAGTCAAGTTTCTAATTGTAAAAAATCAAAGTTTATTTATTTAAAAAATTACATAAAAAAACGCATTTTAATTTTTGATATTTTTTTAATACTTGATAAGTCTTGTATTGCGTTCAATATACAGTTTTATGTTTATTATATAAATATACAGTTATATGTTTCAATATACAAGTTATATGGTTTAAATAAACTATTATACTGAATATGAAATACAGTTATTGCTGTGGTTCATAATGTCATACATATTTTCACCTTTTGAAAAATGTTTTTTGAAATGTGTTAGAATTCAATAATCCTCAGCACCGGTCTTCCTGCCTAGCATTTATTCATGCAGCGTTATTCAGAATGGTAGTGAACTTCTAATTGCGTGCTAGCAAAAAGATCCAATTTGAATAGATCACGCTGACTTTTTATTTTAATGCTCTATGGAAGAAAAGTTTTTTTTTATAATCTCTTGTACATTTCTACATTTATGAATAAATATATAAAAATATGTAGTTTAAACATTTGGTACCTTTAAATATTCATTTATGGGTGAGTTTATTGCAGTGAGATTTTGTTTTACTAAATGCATACTTTCATATATATATATATATATATATATATATATATATATATATATATATATATATATATATATATATATATATATATATATATATATATATATATATATATATATATATATATATATATATATAAAGTATATGAATCTTTAATTTATGTGTAGTAATAATAATATAAGTATTAAAACATCATTTTCGGTACTTATTTCTTTTTTTTTTTTTAGAAAAAAAAAGAAATAAATATTATGATACTGCATATGATGTTTTAATGTTGTAAAAATTTGATTTGGAACATCGATATTAAGGAAGATTTCTCAATCACTTATTTATCAGTTTCTGTGTCAACACGGCTGCAACCTATTGCTGTAATCACTTAAACTGTTTTGCTGTTGTTTTTGTAGTTGCAGCAGCAGCAGTAGTAGTAGTAGTAGTAGTGGTAGTAGTAGTAGTAGTAGTAGTAGTAGTAATAGTAGTAGTAGTAGTAGTAGTAGTAGTAGTAGTAGTAGTAGTAGTAGTAGTAGTAGTAGTAGTAGTAGTTGTTGTTGTTGTTATTGTATATTTGTACAATTAGTGGCTACATCAAGTCACGTGTTAGTCAACTGTTAAAGCATTCTAAAAAAATGAGAAACAACATCAAACTTGCATACAGTCTTTTTAAGTGGACCCAGTTCATAAAAAAGAACATTTTTTTTTCAAAAAGGCATCCAAAAAATGGCCCCCTTGATGCTATAGTTACATCTGAAATTTACATTGTATATTAGTTTTAAGAACGTGAGATTAAAGATATGATTAGAACAAGGTTGACAATTTCTTTATATGATTGCAACAAGGTACGCAAATTCTTTATATAATTACAAAGAAGAACACAAGCTCTTAAATTTTTTAATACCTCTAAATAGTTGTTTTAAAAAGTATAAATTAATTCACAAATTTTTATCTTATAATTCCTATTTATAATTTAAAATAGCTAATTTTAAAATTCGTATATATTTAACTATGATACTTATTAACAATAGATTTTTATTCTTAATTGGTTATAACTCAAGTTACTAAAAAAAAAAAAAATCTGTACTTAAAAGTTGTATATATAACTGTATGTACACTTGTTACTATTGCTTGGATTATAATTATTATAATTTAAGAAACTATTTATAATTTGTTTTCTACTGTATCGTCATAACTGCAAGAAATTATTGCTCTTTGTTTAAATATTCAAATGCTATTGTAATATTACCGCTTTTGTTGTTATTACCGCTTTAATGTGATTACCGCGATTGACGTTTTTATCGTTTTTATGATTTTATACTGTTCCTATTATTCTCTTTTGATTTTATAATATCAGTGTATTTATGTGTGTGTGAGTTTTTACTATATCCTGTGAATGTAATTCTGAACATATTTTTGATCTTCTTTTATATTTGCACTAGAGAAGCCTTTGACTAGTATATAAATCAGTTTGCGGGAGCTATTGCAATATGAAGAACACTGTGGCGTTTCCTGTTTAACAGTGCGAAGATTTTTATAATGCATAAATTAGAAAATTATGCATAAATTATTACCCCTTAAAATTTATATTATATAAAACAGCCCTTCATAGTTAGTTTGATTTTAAGAATGATTCAAAGCTTACTGAGTGAAATAAAATAAAGAATTTTTTTTCTAGAACTTTACTGAAATTCTATTATTTATCTCAGCGTTCTTATTTTATTTTTAAATTTTCATTAGTTCTTATATATTCGTAATTAAATCTGTTGGTTTAACTTGCTTATTTACAAACCTTTTATGCTCTTTAACTTTAGCATCAATATTTTTTTTTCAGGTCAAAATGAAAAGATTGTCAAAAAATGTTGACTATGAAACAAAAAGAATAAAAAATGATGAATGTCCAACACCTAAAATTAAAAATGACGTTTTGTATATGGAGGTAATTAATTTACTTTTTTTTTCATATAACTTCGATCACATCAGTGCTAGTCTTATATGCAGGAAACAGTTAGCTATAACGCCACCAGTTTCATTAAAGAGAATGTAGCGCAACAAAAAATATGGTAGGATCTAAATAAACTCTTAATGGTCAAATAAGCTGGAAATAAGCTTTTGTCACAACAATATACATTTTTTGTCAAACAATTATACATGTTTTGTGACAAATTTTATTTGAATTCTATTGTTTTAAAGTTGCAACTAAAATTTAAATTGTAAAAAATTAGTTATTGCATAGTTCTGCTAAATAATATATAAATATAACACGCTATAAAAATATTGGCACTATAACAATATAACAACAATAATAGTGTACCAAGCGCAACGGAAGAACAGAGTACCAAGCGCAACGGAAGGTAAATATCAGTAATTGTCCAGTTCAATTTTTAGAACTAAAGATAATTATTCCTTAGATAATTTTAATAGTAATATCTTTTTTTTTTTCGTTTTGCATCACTTCATAAAATAGGCTACGTCTACCTACGTCTACGTCTACCCTATAAAATAGGCTATGTTTACCTTGTGTAGAATACATTTTATAAATTAAAAATTTTCACCTATTTTTTAAGCTAAGTTCTAAATAATATTATATTAAATATTTTTTGGATATATTTTAGAATATAATGTTTTTACCACTATCATTATAACAACAAAATTATTAATATATCACGCTTATAAATATATCAATAAAAATATTAATATTAAAACAAAAGTTAGATTAATACATTAATAAATAATAAAAAGAAATGTTAGATTATAACACTTTTCAAGCCCTCGCGAGGGCGTGAAAAAAGTTATAATCTAACCAGTGACGGATCCAGGGGGAGGGGAGGTGAAGGGGGAATGCATCACCGTTCCCCCTCTCCCCAGAATCTGAAAGTTGTAAAATATCTTAGAAAGGGAGAACTCTTTTTTTTTTAGAAGACGCAAATGTGGTGCTAAATTTAAAATTTTTTCAACAAACCTTAAATTTGAAAAAAATTATCAATTTGTTCAAATTTGAAAATTGTATGAAAAGTTTTAACAATGTTTTGTGAACATCATGATCTTAAACTTAGCTATAAAAAATAGATTAATGATATGAAATTCAAACAAAAGAATCTAATAGAGAGTTAAAAAGATCGAAGCTTAGATTGAAGCTTTATTGATAAAAGCATATGCTTTTATACATTCTTTCTCAATAATTTTTATTGACTTTTTATCCTGTTTCATTAACAATTTTTTTATTTAGGATACTCAAGAAAATACTGATAGCGAGAGATTAAAAAAAATGGAACGAGAGAACGAAGATCTAAGGAAACGTTGCACAAGATTGGAAAACATAGTAACGCAAATTTTATCAAACAAAGAAGAAAGCAAAGTAAGTTTAAAATTTGATTTACATAAGTTGATTCGTCCTTACAATTTAAAAAATTACTAGACTATAAATGTGTTTCAAAATGTGTTTTTATGTTTTTAAGGCCGGCGCGAGAAAAAGTTGAGTTGGAAGTGGAGAGGTGGGTTACAAGTTTTGTCGACTAAAAAAAAAAAATTCCCAAGTTTTTTAATTTGCGAACTAGTGATAAATAGTCTAAGCCCCATTTTAATGACTGTATCTAAAAAAAAATGGTTCCTGTCTGGAAGTACATAAAGGTCCCGATTTGCTTACAAATGGTGCAAATATATTGATTGAATGGGTTTATAGCCCCGTCCACACACACACCCTTCTCCTCACGCCAGCCTCGCTGTTAGCCAAGAAAATATAATATTTTGTTAATGTGTTTGCTGTATCATGATAATTTCAAGTAAAAAAACAAATAAGAATTAAAATGTGTCATAAATTTGTAATCTGGTAGCGTAATTGCTACAAGAGTGTATATATATATATATATATATATATATATATATATATATATATATATATATATATATATATAAATATATATATAATATATATATATATATATATATATATATATATATATATATATATATATATATATATATATATATATATATATATATATATATATATATATATATATATATATATATATATATATATACACTCATGTTTGTGTATATAAATATTTATATATTTATTATATTATTTTTATATATATAGTCACCCGGTGTTAACGAAAAGTTTATTGGCTCTAAACCTCTTGGTAACAATGCCACCGACGATCTTGCCTCATACGAAATCTACAACAATTGTGATACAAAAGCATCTTATTCCTACTCCAATTCGAAGCATAGAGTAAGTGGTTATAGTTATGCAGTTTCACCTAGAACAAGTCCTACAAAACATGAAGCCAGTCTAAGAGAATGCAAACAGATAGTTCCTTATGAAAAAGTGCCTGGATTTTTTAGAACATTTTCAATGGATAAACATGCAAGTTTCAATTGTATTAGCTCCGAAGAAATGGAAAAAAGAAACGAATTTTTTCGCTCAACATACTATGAAGAGCAGCTAAAACATTTGAGAAACATTCGCCCAACGTATCCAAGCTTGCTAACTCCATTAGTAGATAAACATTCTCCTACAAACGAAAAATCTCATTCAAACAAAGCATCTCCAAATCCACAAAGATACGAAGCTAAAAAGGAACTCCAGCATCCTTATGCCAGTGATCTTCGGTGCGAAAACCATTACGAACCATATTTATTCGGTAGAAGTGTTCAACAGAAAGTAGTAAAACATGTAGGGTATTGTCATACCCGACATAAATCAAACGACAGTAATTTGTTTTTAGATAAATGTTGTTACAATGCAAAACATTCAGAAAGTTTAGAAATAAAAAAATACGACAGCGAGTTTTTTACTAAATTGCCGCCCAAGTTACACATAGTTGAAAGTCAAAATAAAAACGGAGTTACACTGACGTGGAATGCAACATCGAATACAGATAGTTCTTTAGTCAAGTCGTATCAGTTATTTGCGCGTGAGCTTTTTGGACAAAAACTTGGCACAATGAAAAGAATGGGTGTTATTGACGCTCTTCCACTTCCGATGTCTTGCAACGTTGCTAACTTAAAACGTAACATTAAATACAAGTTTGCCGTATGTGCCGTAGATATTTACGGCAGGTTCGGCAAGATGAGTAATTTTACAGGAAAGTTCGAGTTAAAATCAAATGATTCTGATAAATATAAAGAAGAAGAAAGTTATGAGCTAAAAATTATTATTTAGTAAATATTTATTAATTGTATATAAAATAATCTGAATAAATTATAATCAACTCTGCAGAGAAAGTCACTTGGCTAAACTTTTTAATAACAGAGAATAAATTTTGTATAAAGCACCATTTCTATAAAACCAACATTTTTGTAAAACATCAAAACAAACTATTTTCTGTTTATGGTTTTAAATTTTAAAGAATAAATAATTTTTATTATATAGATATAAATTTTCACAATATTTATTTTTAATGTTATTTATATATTTATATAGAAATGAATTAAAATATTAGATTTAAGTACATGAATTACTTGTATTTTTATATTATCTTTAATAAATAACCAAAAGTAGAATCAAGATATATTTAATTTACTACTCCGTAGTGGGCACACACCTTAGACATTCAATCGAAAAATATGCAACTATTAGGGTTTTAACGAGTTAAAACCCTAATAGTTGTTGGATTTAATATTTGTCAATTTTGTTTTGATAATAAATCAGTCAAATTTTTATTATTAATGTCAAAATAACAATTAACTTTAATTAAAATAACAATAATTAAAAAACTAGGTCAAAAATTTGGGGGAGAGTACTTATCGACATATCCAAATGACTGTATTATAGCGTACTCGGTGTAGTTTGAGCGGTTCAAAAATATTACAGCGTCTGTATGATATTTTACTGACCACGACATATATCTGACATGATGTTCTTTCGCTTCACAATTAGATGTAGTAAAAAGACTTTTGAAAATTATATAAAATAGAGAAAGATTTATTTAAACATTATAAAAACCTAAAGCAAAAAAATTATAACATCTAAAGCTTTTGTTTAGACATAATACATTGACAAAATCACGCAAATTTAAAATAAAAGAAGCCGAATAATTTAAAAATCGTCTTACCTACACCGAGTATGTAGACGCTCGCCAGCATTTGTAAGGTGGCGTATTTGGCGACTGTAACTAAAAAAAAAAAGCAAAACTGCATTAAAGGAACAAAGCTAATAAATTAAGAAACCCCAACATAATATGAGTTATAAGTTGAGTCTCTTGTCTATAATCCATCATGCTAATTAACTGCGTTGTTCATAATATATACACTAAACGATCTAGTATAAAGTTTGCAGAATATAACATACATTCTAAAAACTAGTAAAAGAAACGTAAATGAATATCTTTTATTTACGTTTCGTTTATTTTAGACTACAATATTAATAGAGAATTCCAAAAATAAGTTTGTTATTAGGTTTCCTTTGACATCATTTTTCTCGCTTTCTTTATAGCAAATGTTTCTACCACTTCATCGAAATTTATTTCATTCAATATTTCACGATCAATTTCAGTGACAAATTATTTAATCTATTATGTGTCATTGTTGATCTCAGTTCATTCTTAATTCTACTCAGTTTAGAAAAATTTCTTTCTCCTGTACAATTGGACACCATCAGAATCAAATAAATACAAAATGCATCTGCACGTTTAATTAGGACATTGATAAGTTTGTCGAGAATTGGGAGAAATACGTTTCTTCTGAATTTAGTCTGACCCGAGTCCCGAGAGTATTCATCTTTGACTAATCCTTCGTCGAATTGAACTTTCCCTTTCTTCTTTCTACTACTATCTTCTTTATAAACCTTTATTTTACTTAACATCATGCCTTGCTCCGCAAACAGGCTGAATTCTGTGCTGAGTGATTCTATAAAATCTTTCAAGGAATGCAATAGAAATGCAACTGTATTTACATCCAGTGTTGAACTCGGCAGAAGCTTGCTAGTTTTGTTCGTTCTCTGAACAATTGTATTCCAAATCGCAGTTAAAATTCCAGTTTCTAGCTTATTAAACCAATTTAATAAAATAACAGCTTACTGCCTAGTAACAGCTTTCTCAAAAGTTTTTGTAGCCCTTTGAATGTGCTTGTGTTGCATTAGCATGACTGGATCAACGTGTATCAGAAAGTTGCTTTGGTAACGGTACGTGATTACTCAAAGAAAAACATGTATACATTTTGAACAAAATCAAAATATTTTACAGCAGCTGGACAACAATCAACAGCGTTGCTTTCTACTAAATTTAATGAATGCGCAAAACACGGTATAAATATAGCTAGTAGATTCACCGTTTGAATATTTGCTCGAACTTCATTATATCAACCAGACATATTTGAGGCATTGTCATAGGTCTGTTATTGATAGGGGAAAGGCGCCTATGATTGTATACTTAACTTTTAAGCTTCATTATATAGTATCCTGAAGACCAATAATAAAAGTTTTGATATGGATACATTTCTTGTTACATGTAGAACAATAATAACCCTCGGAGTTTTCATCAGTTTTGTTTTTTTTATAAAGTATTCCTATATTATAAAAAAGCACAAGTATGCCATCATAAGCAACCACCGCTCCTATGATCGCATAGGGAGGATGGGGCTGGTTAGGACCAAGGGTAGCTTGATGATTCCATTTAATCTTAGAGTCTTCTCTCAGAAAAGCCAGAAATAATCCGGAAGCATCCTAATTTACCATTTTATGGTACATAGCAGCACTGTAAAGTTTTGCGCATGCGCATTGGATATATTGAGTTTTGTGTATTTTTTGGACCGAAAAAAAAAAATTTTGGAGCATTGCTTTCTTTTTAATTTACTTAAAAATAAATTTTTTTTATAAAAAAAACGTTTTCCCAACTCGTCAATATTGCGACGCACCCAAGTCGTTAGTATGCCATCATGGGAAGAAGTCATCATTTTCATTAAAACAAGCTGTGTCTGCCTTGTTCAAAAGAAAAACTTAAAGATAAACTTATGTCATCATAGGCGCTATGCCATCATGGGCGCCTTTCCCCTATCTATACCATTATCATCTAAATAAGACAGCAATACTCTTGCTAATTCTTAACCAGTATGAGTTTCTAAATTAATAAATGTTAGGAATCTTTCTATAGACACAATTTTTTTTACATACCGAACTGTAACAGACAATTGGTCAACGTGTGATATATCAGGTGTTGAGTCAATTGAAGCGCTGTAATATTTTGTTTCATTCTTTTCATTAACTATAAAAGTTAGCACTGCTTGACCCATTAAAGCAATAAGTTCTTCACAAATAGTTGATGACAAGTATGATACATTCCCCCGCCCTGCGTTTTCTTTTTTCTTTTTATATGCATTGCTAAAAATGGATCATACTTTGCCACTACCTCTAAATTACCGATGTAATTACCTTTTTCATGTAAACCAAACTTTTCTACATGACCTCAAAACAGCAAATCCTTTGCAGCCAAAAGCTTAATAACATCTACTACGCACTCCAAAACTGATCTCAAAAAATTTGTTTGGCCTCCTTTATGAATGATATTAAACCTTCCAGCCAATCGCGATCGCTTAATGTACGTCAGAGTTGCTGCTAAGTGGCACAGACTCTTCTCATGCTTTTCAATGGCGCGGTTGGCATTCTTCCAATCATTGAATTCATGACATAAATTTGTTTGAGTAGATGAGAGAAGCTTACAAATAAAACAGTATATCTTTCCATTTGTTGGGGAGTAACAAAGCCAGGTACGGTTGGATTTTTTGTTAGTTAGAGGATGTATCCGTGTAAATAATGCAGATAAACAATAACAAATCTGATTTGGGTTATCATATACCCGTTTTGAATTTTCAAAATTATCGGTTATGTTTTGACTTCCAGCACTTTCTTTCCTGATGAAGTACTCTTGCACATCTTTAGAAACACTTTTCCACAATCCTATTTCGGTTTGATATGTGTCCTAATGTTCTTCGACGGTTTGATTATTAATTTGCTTGACAACAACCATAGTATTAGTATGTAACAAAGTATCTATGTTGTTGTTTGGTTCTAAATGAGACTGCGATTTTACTAATGGAACTGCATTATCCATTATTCTTGACTTTTTGAAAAAAGTATCAAGTTTGGTGGTCTTCTATAATATATTTTCTTCTCTTTCACTTTTTTCTGAAGCTTTTTTTTGATTTGCAGCACCACTTTTATAAGTCCGACTGAAACCAAACATTATTTAGCCACCTTAAACATGCAATAAAGAGAAATATTAACAGAAACCAAATACCGTCAAACCTTATTTTATCTATGTTACACAAATGTACATCAAACGACGTACAAACGACATTTCAAAAAAATTTTCATGTAAAACAAAACTCATTGTATGATAGTAATGTTTTACTTCAAAATATTTTTTTACCTAAATAAAATATTACCTAAATAAAATATTTACACACTTCCTTTGAATGAATTGAATCACAAGAAAAAATGCTAACGCTAGATTATTTTTAAGCTCAGTTAAAAATTATTTTTTCTTTTGCATGGCTTTTTTGAGAAGTGATAACCTCGTAAAATAATAAATTCGTATAATTAAACAATATGGTTTTTTTTTTGAAGGTTGCAGAGAAATTGTATAAAGAAAATAGTATGTGTTTAGAATTTTTTTTCTTCCGAAAAATTTAATTTTGGGGCCCCTTAAATTGTGAGACCTAAGACCAAGGCCTCATTTGCCTCAATGATAATCCGTAACTGACATTAAGCACAAACCTTAAAAGTTTTTCATGGTATCTGTTTATTTTATAAGTGAAGAACAACTCGATAGTAATCTCTGTCCTAGAGGCATAAACGGAAAAGCAGCTTAAATATCTTCTTTTTTTTAAGTCTGCAAGTTCCTTTGTACAATTTTGAACCTTTAGTTTTACATTCAAAACAGTGGAAGTTGATGGACTTGTTGCTGCATTCTTTATGTTAGGTTTTTCATTGAACTTGATATTAATACAGTTCTTAGGTTCATAATGTAAGGTATTTGAGTAAATTTTAGCACAGCAACGTTAGAAAAAGGAACTAACTTGTAATTAAACAGCTTCGCTGTTTCTGAATAATTTTTTAAGTTATGTGGTTTCATTTGAATGATACGATAAGGATTTTCTCTGCTAACTTGTTTCAATATCCCTATCAATCCAATTAGACTATAAAAATTAGTTTTCTTCATGAGCTTTTAAATTTCGCTATGGGCATGATCCACCTCCTGGACGCATAAATGACCCGGAAAGGAAT